ATTTTTATGCCTACATCTTATAATCTAAACAACTACTTCTAAAATATATGTGATATAACTAGTGTTAATTTCCTACTATCATGCTTTTTGAAATTCTGTATAATTTCTATTCTTTTTTCTGTTTTGCTTTTTAAAATATTTTTTAAAATTAATAAAAGACAGTTTTACTTTCTCTTCATCTCTTCAAGGCCAGGAGATTGAGTTTTGGTACTGTTAGGTATAACAAAGTGCACAGGAGACCTCTTGAGTTATTATTTTTCTGTACGTATATCTACTTTAACTATCTATCTTATTATTTAATAGTCTTTAGCATTTGCCACAAATCCCCAAAGTCCTTAACAGAGATCATTGCATTTAATTTTTGTACTAATTCGATTTGTAGGAAAAGAAATCCAAATTAGGAATAAACCATGAAAGCAAGAAATTGGAGTTTGAAATATAACAATGTGACTCCACAATCTCTTTTTATTATGTCTCTTAAGATGATTGTTTGAAGGTTTTCTTTTTTTCTATTCACTTTGTGTTATTTAACAATATAATACTACAGTTTAATAATTTATTTTTACTGAAAATTTTCTAAATTAACAGTAGTATCTAATCTAAGGCACATGCAGGATCACTACACAAATGCCAAAAAACAAAAAAACATGGTGAAATTGCTTTCATTAAAATAATTGTTGAACTGTCTTCAAGTAGACACAACACATTTATGTATTTATGTCTCATGCTATTTATGTAAGAGTTAATGTTATTGTCCAATGCCACCTTGAAACTTTACTTGTAGTTATTGTCATTATGCTCTCTTGATTCTGTAATCATTTGGTCACTTCTTTCTTAACACTCTCCTTGACCCTTCTCTTTAGCACTGGTATTTTTCCAAAAATCTGTCCTTGCTCTTTTCTTGCTTTTTCTGCATTTTGTGACTTACACAATCTTAGGAGATGACATCTACCTTTGTGTCTTCAATCTACAATTGAATCATTATGAAAGCTCCAGCCCCAGTGTAGACTCTTCTTGGCTTTATAGTCCAAAATACCTAACTAATTCCCACAAATACCACAAATCCAGCATATCCAATGCTTATTTTTTTAGTTGATCTTTTTAACCAAGTTTCAGCACATTCTAACAAAGATGCTAACAATGATCTGTGAAAGCCTCTTTTAAAAGGCTTAAGAAAATTCATTGAAGAGTACTATTTCATGAGATGCTGAAATTTTATGACGTTCAAACTTCAGCATACAAATAGTAAGATCTGTTTTTAAACAGTCACACTTACTCACTTTCCACATGGCCACATTTATATAACAACAGCTTCTGAGTAACTGCAAAAGTTATGGCATAGCCCACAAAGCCTAAAATAGAAACAGTGCCCTTTATAGAAACAGTTTGCTGACAATGCTCTTAAACCTTCCACCATGGTCTCTATGTCATACTGTGACTGTAAAGCCTATTGCAAAAGCTGGCAGCTCACTTCTTTCCCTCCACAGCCTCCATAGCCACAACTTCTATCACTATTTTATAAAATTAAGTTTGCCTGTATCCATACCTCAACTATACACCACCAGAGTTTGCTGCTGGCCACCCTCTGTAAAATACTGCAGCACATTTCTGTGATGAAATTAGATGCATCACCTTGTCAGGGAGGATAAACACCCAGATGGCTGCTAAAAGCATTGTTTGTGAGTGTGTTTCTGGGGGACATTAGCATTTGGATTGGGACCCTGAGTAAAGAAGATCCTGCCTTGACCAGTGCAGGTGGGCATCACCTAATCTAATGAGGCAGTGTATGAAATAAAGGTGGACAAAAGGCAAATTTGTTTCCTGTCCGAGTTAGTATGTTGCTCTTCTCCTGCCCTTCATTACTAGTATCCTTGGCCCTCGGGCCTGGAAATTTCTGAATCAGGATTTAAACCACTGTCTCTCCATTGCTCTTGGTTCTCAGGGCTTTGAACCTGGCTCTAGGCTATATCACTCTCCTTTCTGGTTCCCCTGCTCACCCAGAGCATATACACTGTGGGACACGGCAGCTTCCATAATCACACGAGTCACTTCCAGTTCTCTCTCTTGCTCTCTCTATCTCTGAACACCTTTAAAATTTAATTCATTTTCATATAAAATACATAGTACTAATTATGTAGGATGTAGTATTCTAAAAATATTTTTCATAGTAACTCATGTTAAATATGTGTGTATTAGATGGTGCAATAATTTCTATATATATATATATAAACTATAATGATAATAAAAAACTTTTTAAATAACTTGTCAATACAGTTTAATCATAACGATTGCCTTAGAAGCATGTTAAAAATAAAAATAAAACTATGCTACCGATGAGGGAAACATCATGGAATTAATAAATCACGGCAAAGATTTGACCCCAGTTCATGATATTTTAGTCAGATTCCTTGTACTATATTTTTTAAATTTAGATTTTAAACTTCCCCCATTGCTTATTCATGTTGTAAAGGCTTTGATTTATGTTTTCCTAATCTAGTATTGCAACAACATAAGAGCCCAAAGATCTACAATAGACTTTGAAATATTCTGCTCATTTCTACTAACTAAACAGGAAATGTGTGTACTCAATGAATAATTACTTCTAAGAAAACCAGTATTAAAACTTTTATTATTTTCCTACATGGATTTGATAGCCTCAAAGAGTATTTACACTCATTTCTTTAATTTGTGAAAAATGTATTTTAATTTTATAGCATAAATCATGTGCATTAAAAAAAATCTATTATTCCTTTCATGATCCTCACATTATTATTCACTAAAGAAGAAACTATTACTTTTCTGTGTTAATGTTGAGCCTTTGTCACTGTTCTCATTTTAATTGTATCCTTGCTGATAATATAGGATATGTTCCTGCATCCTTTTGTCCCTAGCAGTGGACGTGTTACTTCACTGAAGCAGATAAATAGCTCAGGTAATGATTGTTATATGCTCAGTGATCCTTGTAATGGGGGAAAGTAGAATGATCTCTGATCACTTTCAAAATCTGAAAATAACTGAATTTCATTCAGGAAACTGCAAATACTCTTTTTAGATGGTAACCTCTAAGTATATGTATAACAAAAATACCTTCCTTGCATACTGAGAAATGTGCTAACTCAAATCCACATAGTAAAAACTGTCTTACTGTATGCAAAGTAGATAAATCTTAGTATCTCCTTTTTGAGATTGTAAGATCTCTCCATTTGCTTTTTAAAATTTAGTATATTTACTGAACACTTATTACATGCAAAATAAAAATGTCAAAAACACTTCCCCCAATCAAATTACCATTATTTCTAATTTTTTTCCATATTTACACAAACATCAAGAAGGATTGACAGTGCACTGTTCCTTTTTATTCTATGAATTTCCCAAAAGTGTGAAATAATCAGATAGGAAACTATGCAATAAAGAGATACGATCCATTTTCATGGCCTACTTTAAATAGCTCTAAACATAAAAGTTGGGTTTCTCATAAAATATTACACAATCTTGTGGATAAATGTAGCTGAGTAATTTTTGTTCTCAACAGTATCAAAACCTTTCATATTGTCTAAGCATTTGTCACCCACAGTACCCTCCATATGAAGGTCATTTTTAGGCAAGAGTAACTTTTTCATTTTACTATTAGCATATTACTGGTTAGAATGAAAATATTTTGCTTTACTTATTTAAATTTAGTGTATTTACTGAATACATATTAAATATAAAAATAATTAAGTTAATATAATTTCTTTGAGGTCCTAATGCTTTGTAGCTTACAGGATGTCATCAAGATGTTGGAAAGTATTAAAGTAATTGTTCCCCTACTCTAGGATGCATAGTTACTCTAATGTGGCAAAAATGCATCAGTCATGTAAAAAAGTAAAACTCAGAAATTGAAAACATTTAGGAAAACCTAACTAAACTTAGACAGAAAGTAAAGAACATTTAACATTTGAAATGTTGGAAGAAGAAATAGTGATTGAGAATTAAGGTCAAGTACTAAACAAAGGCAAAGGATCGTCACGGGACAGTGTTAGCCACAGAGGTGACAGAGTACAACCAAGTCTAGAAAATCTGTAACACTAGTGCGACTCTGTAGCCTGTGTGCTACAGTGGGCTGTTTGATCAGTTTGCCATCACTGATCTGTAACACAAATTTAAAATAAGTCTTGAAGCATTTATCAAAACAGCAGAAATATCAACAAATTATAAGAACTGTGCACTGACAAGGAAAATGGAAAAGGAAACATACCTTCCTCATAAGGGACCTTGCCATCTCAGAATCACCTGTACATAATTTTCAAATGAAGTGAACACAATTTGCATGAGAATGAGATTTCTATGAGTTATGTCACAATTAATGTGAAACAGGCCAGATGACCATAAGATCATAGAAAACAAAGAAACAAACCCATAACTGAGATACAGTAGGACATTTGCATGTATTGAGTAGAAACAAAATAGAAAAAATGAAATCACAATACAATGAGAAAAATTACTACTGAACCCAAATGTGGGCTACACAAGGAGAAACAGAATATATGTCCTTGTCATCTCACTTTCCGTGAATAGAGAAACTCAAACAAATGGCTCATAGTTTCTGGTGCCCACCTTCTACCACAGTATGCTCCTCAGAATGGTAGTGGGTGCATGTAGCACGAATATGTCTTTTGTGTTCTATTGTAATTTACTGATCACATTTTATAACAGAATCCAAACATAAAGGCGGTGTTCAATTTCCTGTAGTATCTTGTTGATGCAGTACCGGTGATTAAACACTGGAGGACTAAGTTTCTATCCTTCATTTCTAAAATGTGCCTGTTTATTTCTATATGAGCAAAATTATAAAGGTAAGAGAAAAGACCTCATCTACTTAAAGGCTGAAACCGCTTATGTTCTCAGACATATACTAAATGTCAGTAACTATTAACTTGCGAAAGTTATTTTGCAGTTCCCACATTATATGAACCAAATGTAAACACTTCTTGGTTAGCAGTTCTGGGACAGGTACTTACCCTGTGGCTGACGACTAGGATGGTAAATCTGCAGGTCAAATGGCTGTGCGCTAGTTTTCTGGATCACACTGACATTCTGCCCATTCCACTTATTGGCCTTTGACAGTGTGTTGGTCCTCCAGTCTGTCCAATAAACCTCACTCCCATACAGAGACACAGCAAAAGGGTGGGAAAGGTACTCGTGACCTCGAATGATTTCTATCATGTTTGTCCCATCATAGAGGGCTGAGTAAATAGCATCTGACCTAGAGAAAAGTAAATATTAGTTTATCAAATGTCATTAAAATAATATAGAGATATAACATGTGACTCACATAAATGAGAAAATACTTTGTAAATACTTTATAGATATATGTCTGAGTTGCCTAATGCAAAAAAAAAAAAAGAAACAAAGAGAAATATCACTGCAATCAACATTTTTCAACACTGTTAATACTATAAGAGGAAAATATCCAAGAAATTACAAAGCAGAAAATAGATCGTTTTTAAAAACCTGGCATCTGTCCAAACTATCCTTTTTTCAAAGTGATCCACAGTTAATCCATTTGGCCACGCCCCAGTTTTCATGTCTTTGTAGATGGTTTTTCTCCCAGCACCACTCATGGAGGCTGATTCTATGCGAGGAAAATTGGCATCCCAGTCTGTCCAGAAAAGAATTCTGAAGAAGAAGAAATAAATGTCACATTTCATGAATTCGCTTCAGAAATATTTACTGAATGCTTACTATATGCCAGATACTTGTTAGGTGAAAAATTACAAGAGAAGTAGTTATATTACCTACATGAGGATTTTAGATTCCCAAGGAGAAAACAGACTGAAATCATGAATGAATCACAGCAACTTGTAAAATACATTATACTATAATAAATATATAATACTATAATACATATAACATATACATATATTATCTGACCTAGATATATATATAATATATATATAATACTATATATTATATATAATACAATAATATATATAGCATAGTATAGTATGGTATAGTATAGTACAGTATTATATTATATTTATTATATTATACAATGTTACCGTGGTTGTCAAACAAATCATATTATATTACATTATACAGTGTTACTTTGGTTATCAAACTCAGTTTGTTCCAATTCTTTGAACACAGAAAACTTTGAAAACTAAATGTATTTTTCTTTTAAGAAATAATGGAAAACCAAATAACTGGTTCTGTGGTCCAGTAATTACAAAAGCACGGTATGTAATCTAGATGGGAGCAGTGCCTAGGTAGAAGCCAGATGTGACCTGTGATGCCCTCAACCTGTAGATATTTCTCAAACCAGATTTTCAGTTCTACTCTGGAGCACAGTTACAAACACCAAGCAGATTTTTGAGTACTGGAAAGTTTGAGATTGGAGCCAGTTGACAACCGAGGTATCACTCGGTTGATATCCCGGTTATATTGTATTATATTTTATATATTTGCACAAACATAAAATTTGCAACATAAAATGATTAACACAGAGAACAGCAAACATTTTATATGAATGTAGACATGCACATCCATAATATATATATATATATATATATATATATATATATATACTTTTAAAAGACAAAATTTCAAAAAGACTTGTCAAACTATAAAAGAAACAGAAAATACATAGAGAAGACTAAAAGGATGTAGGTAGGAAGAGGGATACAGAGGACAATAATGTCAGTGTTTAAAGAGCTATGCATGTTTGTGACGGTAGATTAGTTTTTTATAAACTAAGTATGAATCAAAGCCATGAGAATATGCTTCAGAGTAAGATACCATAGGACTGGATTCACTTCATTGAAAGTCTCTCAAACATCAGGTTATTATTGATCATTTTGTTTTTAAAAATTAGTTTCATAGACTTTGTATAACTATGGTAGTGAGAAAATAAGCACAAGCACAGTATCTCAATTGTTTATTCTTTGGACACAAAATATCTGAATAATTTAAATGGTTGAGAAAGAATAAAATGAACAGTAACGTGCCAAAGAAGAATGTATTGATAATTTTTGAAACACAGTAACATACACAATGGAATTATTATGCAATTCCTTCTAGTTTATGTATTTGAACTTTCTACAATAAAATTGTACTTCAAAAAATAAATAAATGATTAAAAATGTCTAAAATGTACCAGAAGACTCTTGTTAAATAGTATTGTTAGGGTTTTGGTGAAAAGATTTATATTTAAAGATTGTATTGTTTTGGATAAAAAGGTACTAATTTCCTGGGGACATTAGTATGAAGTAATTTATAAGCAAAATTAACCCCAAAATAATACAGCATACTACTATGTCCATAGAAAATGTAAAAGATTAACTAGCATTAGACAAATAGGCTCTTTAAGTAAATAGCTAAATATCTTTCTTGAAAACAATGAATATGAAATGGACCAGATCTCACTTCCAAAAAATTTTAGATGAATACATCTCTATTAACACAAGTTTATTATTTGACAGCTTTTCTTAAAGCAGCACCAAAGCATATGACATAAAATAGAAAATATCATCATAGCATCAGTAACAGTTTTGATGACCTCTTGTTAATGCTATGTAGGAAAGAGAGCAAGTTTAAAAAAGAATAGGCAAAACAATCCTTGAATACGAATTTAGTGAATTTTAGATTCATAGGCAATTTTGAGTATTTTGGAAATGACACCGTCAGGTTAGATAATGCCTACTTTGCACTGCAGTGCTGACACAGGTATTTCTGAAGCACTCTTTTCTACTTCTATGTCAAGTGGAGAAATGGTGTCTCCCTTTTTTTACCCAGTTACACCTTATATAGTGTAGCAAGTGTAATTCGTATATCAACGGTTTTGCAATTTTGCATTTTCTATATTAGGTTTATTAGAAATAGGATATTATATTTTAATGGTGATAAAAAATGGCTTAGCATAATTTACAACATTCTTTTTTTATTTATTTCAGAAGTTTTGTTCTATGCATTTATTATTTTACAGAGAATTAAACAGAAAAGCCAAAAAACAACTAAAAACAACAAAAAGATCATGGGTAGGTTGCTACTGGTGAGGAGATAGCCAGATCCCAGCCTTTCTCAATGAGTTAGCACCATTTGCAGACTAAAGCAAGTAGAAAGCAAGGATCCACCAAGAAGCAAGTCCTGCTTGCAAACCAGTGCCCTGTGTGGTGGGCCCCTGCAGCCAAGGGGCAGCCAGACCTCATCCCCTTCTGGATTGCAGGCTGGCAAATCAGAAATGCCAATGCCCTCTGCCCCAGTAAGTGACCGGCTCCAGAGAAACACAGGCTGTGATGATAGCTATTGAAGTAAAACGCAATTGACGCTTGTGGTGTTTTGATAAGCTGGGGCCAGTGGTCTGATCTTCTATTCAGAGGATAGTGGTATGCAATGTGACATCTAGAGGGGGAATCTCCTTCTGAAAACGATAGCTATTGTTAATTCCCTATTATCTTGTTTTGAAATCTTGTATCATTTTCATTTTTTTGCTGGGTTGGGTTTTTCTCTGTTTTGTTTTGTTTTATTTTGTTATATCCAATGGCATGAGCAGCTATTTCAAAAATAGCAAGACCTATTATGATAGCCACTTTGGATTCACTATTCTCTTCTTTTAATGTCTTTTATTACATTCATTGTTTTGTTTTTATTGGTTCTGTTCTTTTCTGTTTGGTTTTTACTATATTTGAAGGTATCTGCAGCTATTATGAGGACAGTAAGAGGCATTATGGTAACTATTGTTGATTTTGTATTGTTTTGAAATCCTGTATCACTTACACTGGTTTGTTTTGATTGATTTATTTTATTTTCCTTAGTTTTATCCTGTTTAAAATAAAAACAACAATGACAACAACAACAAAAAAAGAAAGCAAAGATAACAAGAAAAACAAAACAATGGCATTATAGGATTTCAAAACAAGATGATGTGAATTTAACAATGGTTGCTATATTGCATATTGTTATCTTCAAATTAATTGCTCAGGCTACCAGATGCATGCATACAAGACTGGTTAGACATTATAATTTCCCTTTGAGTAGCTTCTTCCCTTTTACATCATTCTAATGTAAGTGATCCCTTCATTTCTTCACACTTCCAGTGTGAATATGTTTCGTCCAAAGTGATCATTGTAATACTAAACTTTCACTAAGTTATTGGGAAATTTCTGTAACTTGTTATAAAGTAACCAGTTGTAGAATTAGCTACCCTAAAGTGTTCTTAGCCTTGTCATGAAACAGTTCACACAACCAATCTTAAAAATAGATTTAAAAAAACCAAGTTGATTTCAAGGATCATTGCTTCATGAAATTGTAGCTATTCTTATAGACCTTAAAATGTCATATTTTAACAAAATGATTTTCTCTATTTCCTTATATATTTTAAATGTATTAAGATTTCAATGATAACATTATTTCTCCAAATGCACAAAGGCAGAATATCTTTTACAGGACATACAGAAATATCCAGTGACAATTGCTTTTAAAAGGGAAACTATAGTCCGTGGATTCTTCAGTTTCTGCAGCTGTGGGTTGGTTTGCACCTGGATTAAATTGGGCAAACAGATCATGAACAACTGCTATCTTTATAGGCACGAAAGGAACAATTTCATCTATCAGGTCAAGCTGCAAAAAGAAATATGAATGACCCTCAGAAAACTGGGGTTTATTGATTTATAGGTTTTAGGTTTTCTAAAACCAACGATGGCTATAAATTAGTTTCATTTAGTATATTCCCAGATAAATTTAAACCTTTATTTAGAAGTATCGCTAATCATCATAATTTTTTCACCATGTAACTCTTATAGCACAATCCAGTTAATATTACAGTACAAGTGACAAATAAACACTAGCAATGGAGCAGAAAGATGCCATGCAATAGCACAGAATAAAAGCATTAAAGAATCAGGAATTGACTGACTACACTGTAGATTCTGAACTCTCTGATGCTTGTTACTCCCTAATAATAAACTTGATGTTTAAAAAGGATTCATTTACACTTTCAGGTCACCTTAGCAATAAGTGTATTACCTTAAAATGGAAAGAAAGAAAAATGGCTCCTCCCTAAGAGCCCCAATTTGCCATCTCAGAATAACTTGTCACTTGGGAGGCTGGGTCAAAACACAAAGGGTGAAAAAATGTAGCATGCTGTCAAATACCTCTCTTAATATAAAGTGAAAGCCAATGACTATGATGCTGTGTTAAGCACAGTTAATTGAAAACAGTTCCTATTTGGTATTTTTAAAACGTCAGATGGACCTTGGTTACTATAAGAACTTAACATGAAAGTAAAATTCTTTTATAGGGATAATGTTATGGACTATTTGTTTTTTCACCATACTGAGGGAACAAAGTGGCTCACTGCACACCTTTCTTTTTATCTATTACATAAACAAAGTTTATACTATTCTCCATTGCCTGTCTTTTACTATATCCTTAAAATGCATACTTGGGTACCTATATGCTGCATGTAAATGAACTCATATGTATCCATTCATTTATTTAACAAGCATTTATTTAGCACCAGTATATATAAAAAGAGCTATGACAGACTTCATAAACTTGGGAGCAATTTTCTTGCTATGAACAATCTATGACTTTGTAGGGAATGCTGATAACATTTTCACAAGTCATACCTCCTAAAATAATCTGGTGGATTTTTTGAAAATATAAACTTGCATTATAAGTTTAAAAAGCTTTCAAACTAATATCAATGCTGATTCATTTTCTTCACGTATTTTGTGAGAAATAAAGGAAAATCAGGTCTTCCTACTTATATAGCTCTGAGATAGTAGGATACAGTTATATATAATTACTTTTCATTGTTTCTTTTTGTGCTTTGCTTTTCAGTATGTATCGTGTCTGGATATGTGTGCATATGTATGTAAGCTTATTTTTCCTATATGAAAATTTCCTTTGGAAACTTCTAATGTTTGTGAGAATCTCAGAACATTTTAGAAAATATCCAATAATAATGAAACTATTTGATATTCATAGTTTTTATATTTAAATGCTACAATTATTGCTTAAGGTGTTTAAACAAATCTCATATGTTAATCATATCAAATTCCATAAAATAATTTGAATAAAAAGTCCTATCAAATCATAACATTCACACCTGTCAACCTTTCAATTAACTCTTAGACTAGAATAAATTAGTATTGCCATCTGAACTTTGGTCTTTTATGCTAGAAACAATTTTATGTGTTATTTCTTTCTGCTGTTTTTAAATACTTATTGCCACTCTAATTATATTAATTAATTTCAAATTTCATAGTAGCAATTAGAATGGAACGCATCCTCTTTCCCAGGAACATCATCAAGTTTTTGCTACATGGCTTAGTTTCTGGACTAATATTAGATACTAGAGGATATTTTACTTCTGGAAATCCTTTTATATCACTTAGTGTTTGGTGTTTTCACTTACATAGCAAGTTGTGTGTCCTTTGTGTTTCTGTTTTGCTTTTTCTCTTCTTTCCTCTAAGGTTGGATATACTCCAAATAAACTGAGATAAACGACTGTATTATAAATATCGTGAATTTAATGCTGTAGAAAGTGAAACAACTCCCAACACTACTTTGTTCATTCACACCAGATTCAAAACTTCCATACACCTGCTTTTTGTTATTCTCTGCGGTGCCACTTGTTATTTAGGAAGAATTTACTTTTCTTCTTATGTTACTATGCATTTAACACCACATCTTCTACTGTTACACAGATAGTTTTTTATGCGAATAAGATGCTGGTCCAATTTGTATGGGTTTGATAGGTGAAATATGCACATCAGTAGTGGTTACACTGGAAAGAAAACCTCTGTTGATAATATGCTAGTACCTTTGTGAGTGGTATACGAACAGAATCAGCAACCTATTTGTACTGTGGGAATATAGTGTTGAAAAATAAGAGCTTTTCTCATTAAACCTAACAGGCTGTTTGCAGGTGAACTGTTACTACAGATGGTAGCACCTGAACTGAGTAAAGTGTAGACTGTGTAAATTAGAGAACATCCCTCCAGGCTAAAAAAAAAAAAAAAAAATCAATCTACTTCTCAGTTTATTATTACCATATTTCCCCAGTTTCAAAGGGAATGAGAATCTAGAACATTAGGTAAAATATCTCAATATTTTAAATTTTGACAATTGATTTAAATATATTTCAAAAACCATTGAAAGAAAAGCAAATGCCTCACTGAAAGCTGCTAATGTGGAAGCCCTGTTTCAGCCAGTTGCTTTGCTCCTTTAATTTCAGTATCTGGACTAAAGAAAAGGAAAACAAACTTCATGTTCTATTTTTTATCTGAGTTTTGAGCAGTAGACCGGAGTGAAAGCCAGAGTGTGCATCCAGGAAGCAAATTTAAACCCAAGGGAAGCTTTTCTCTCTGCTGTATTTCATTAAACTCCATTTTGTTTTACTCCCCGCTCTTCCTGGAACGTGACCTCCAAATTCCTCTCAAAATATTCCTATCCAATATTCTTGATTTGATAGTAGGTTTGGATTTGCAAATTAACTGCTAATTCAATAATAATAAAATAAATAAACAGAATTATAAATATTCTTGAACATCAGTTGCATCTTGTTTAAAAGTCAAGTATGGGGGTATATGCCTGTAATTATAACACTTTAAAGAATATTTCACGTTGAAGCCCAAGCTGCACAAGTTAGCAGTCAACAAGTCCCTGGAGAAGAGAAGACAAGAGAAGAGAAGAGAGAAAAAGGAAGAAGAGAAGCAGGTGGATCAGGAGAAAAATATAGAGAAAATTACTTTTAGTTAGTCTAATTACATTTAGATAGTGAAAAATGAGAACCTAAAGAAAATAATACACTTCATTTACCCATAGAGAATGAAAGAGTAGGACCTGGAACTCACATCTATTGATACCTAAGGTATTTCTTACTCCTTAAAAAAAATTAATCAGGAAGACAGATCAGTAGCCTGAATCACTTAATATTTAACCTTGTTTTCCAGGATCTTGTATTTTGTCTTTTAAGATTTCCAACAGTCAGCATATCACTGCTGGGATCCTTCAACATTATTTTATATTTCCTTTAAACTGACTTCAACAAAATGCAAAATAAATAAAGGGTGAGGTGGTTAACATCTGTGCTAATATAGGACAAAGGCCGGCCCTATGATTTCTAACCATTAGAAACAATTACAGTATTTCTTTGTCAGAGTGAAGAGAACTACACTAAATTACTGCTTTGAAAAAGAGTTGTAATAGCTTCCAATAGGGTCTAATGCCCATATTTAGAATAAAAGTACTTTGAGACTCTAATAGTACATATATACTATCCTCTGATCAAACTTGTGGAAATAAATTTATTGCTGTACTCTACGCACAACCAAACACACAAGTATGCACATATATGCATATATATGCTCAAACAAGAATTTGGTCCTTAATATATGGGTTAAATTCAATATTAAACTGAAAGATTATTTTCATATAAAATGTATGTGTAAATAATAAATTTCTTTACCCAAATCTTGGGTCCAATGCAATGGCCCTGGGGTGTTCCATGGCTCCTGCTATCAGTGTAGTTCTTAGCGAACCATCCAGTTTGGCCACTTCGATTTGGTCCAGATTACTGTCTATCCAGTATATGTTGCCTGCTATCCAGTCTACAGTCAGACCTTCTGGAGTAGCCAGCCCGTGCTCCACGACAATCTCTATTGCACTGACACCTGTAGAAGAGGGAGAACCAAAATGTGCAGCCACTCAAGGGATGTGTGAAGCACCAAAGAAAGACCCGCTTACAATCAGCGGTATAAGGAATTATACCTGATTTTAACTGTGAGTTAGAGGGTAGAGGTGCTCCCTAGTGCAGAAGAAACTGTTTCCAAATATTAAAATTCCAAGATTTAAATTCATAAATCTTTTCATTAACAATAGGGTGATATTTTTAAACGGTTTTGGAACTAGTACTAATATGACATGGCAAATAAGCATTTCTTGTTTCTGTTAAAGATAGTGACATTTAATTCAAATGTTGAACTTCAAGGGTTGAATAAAATAGAAAAGTTATTTTGGGCAAAATACTTTGTGGATAATAAAATATTCAAAATTTTCATTCTTTAGACACATCATGGATAAAGTAATTATTACTGTATTTAACCTTAACAAAATAATCCCTAAATAATCCCAAAATAAACCTCACATGGCTATAAAATGTAGAGATATAACAAGGACAAATGCAAAAGAAAGAGAAATTATTGTGAATTGAAGAAAAATAAGCAATGTGGTGGAAAGGTTCATCATTATTTTATTTATGCAGTGTATAATTTTTTTATAAAATGTTTAAAAGCTTCATTTGAAAAACACTTCTTTTTCTAATTGGATAACATCATACTTTATGACACTAAAAGTAGCTTTGATTAGAAAGTTTAAAACTGTTTTATTTAATAGTTAACAGTCTAATTCTAGGGATCTAAATCCATCATTTTAAATTAAGATGATACATAGCCAAAATTCAAACATCATAATTATGTATTTATACATTATTTTTCAAAATTGCAAGTACATTTTAGAGAGGAATTAGCAATATCATACAAATATTTTTCTCTCAAAATGCTACATAAAGGCAAAATTTCCAGTGAAATATTGAATATATTTATCTTAAAGTCTTTTACTTAAGAAAGATTTAGTTTATACAAACTATGGCAAAACTATTTAGCCAATGTTAGCAGTCTTTGTACAAACTTCACTGTTTGACCTCTACAGAATGATACTACTAAATAAAAAGCAAGTTACTTTAACTTACAACAATTTGATGATAAGTACATAGAAATTGATTTTCTCCCCATAGTAAATAACGTTCTTCATGATAATTTGTGGGACATTCTAAAATTAAGCATTGTATAAATAGAGTCACCTTTCACCACTACACTCCTTCAACATATCATCCGTATATATGTGTGATATTTCTGGTTTTATAATAAAAAGATGGGATAGAGAACCAAAAGTCAATGATTAATTAAAATCTTTCTTAATGAAGTACATATTGGAATTTTATTTGAAAAGTAGTTTAAAGAGTAAGTGAAACAATAACATATATACCTCCACTTTCAGAAAGTTTGCCCCGGTATATTCTGTCTTCTACAACATCTGTCCAATACAGCAAACTTTGATTGAAGTGAAAATCAAGTGCGATGGTATTTCTCAGTCCAGGAACCAGTAGACTGTAGTCTCTTTTATGGAGATCAATCCTTCGGATCTCATGGCGAATAGAAAAGATGATGAATGCTTCAAAAGGATCTGAAATTAGATTTATTTTTGATAGAGTTAAGAAAACATTTATATGCTTTGAGTAAGTTAAGTGAAATGTTAAAGTCAAAACTCATTCATTTAAAAATGTATTGATTGTATAATGAAAAAAAAAATGAGACCAGTTCCAGTAGAAAGGTAAAATGAAAAACTTCTGTTTTCTTGGAATTTTAGCACATAAATCGAACTCTGAACCACAACCACATGACTTGTAAAGTGTTGAAAAAACTAGCTCTGGCGTTCTTAGTCTATCCTATACCTAAGGAGAAATATCCAATGGTTTAACAAAAGAGATTCTATGAAGAGATATATTGGGCTTACTTGGTGGTTACTAGGCAGATCCCTATGCCTGTGCTACCAATGTTCATAATCTTGTAGTCTGAATAAACTTAGTCGAATTGTTCAGCACATCAATATTCAGCTTTGTATCAGTCAGAACAAAATAATTATATACTTGGTTTGTCCATTGAACTTGTTTGTGTTAACTTGATTGTACCACTCAGAGGGTTAGTGAGTGTAATTCTGGGTATGCCTGTAGAATGTGACTCAATGTGGTCTCTGGCCCTTTCCTGTTTGGGGTAACTCCCTTCCTGTGTGTCCAACAAACTCAGTAAGTAGCTTTGCTGTAGTATGATGTATCCCTCTTGTGTCCAGTTGGCCATAAACTGAAATCCCCTGAAACATAAGCCAAATTAAAACTCTCCTCCTTTAATTTGTGGATACTGATTATTATGTCCCAGAAACAAGTAAGCTGATTAAAATGAAAAATTGCTATTTGAAAAGTGGTATCATTGCTGTGACTAAAGTTGGTCACATAGTTTACAATCCTTTGAAATTTGTTTGTGGGAGATGTTTTGGAGATCTGTAGTAGATCTCTTAGTCTGTTGTGAGTAGATCTGGATGGGTGACTCTGATCTGAGCTCAGAAGGCCGTAATACTTTTAGAAATATGAATAGTAAAGGTCACTGACAAGAAGTTTCAGTTGGGGACAAGGATATCATTGACATTGGACTAGAGGACAAATGAATGTTTCTCTTTGTAGGACATAGTTTGGTTCAGTGTGTTTTTCAGATGGTATTTAGGAATTTTTTATCACATATTTGAAATAATGACATAAAAATCAAATAATATTTTCCATGGAAGACATCAAATATTAAGTAGAAAAAATTTAAAGGAATGAAGCACAAGAATGAAATAAAGAAGAAAGAGAAAATATTCATGAAAAGTCAATGTGAATGAAATTAATAGATGAATAAATGAAGTAGATATTTGGAATATCTAATGATCAAAACAGAGTTAATAAGAAAAGACAATAATCTTAAGGCAAAAATCAAATGAAATTGAAGCATGTAAAATGCTAAGAACTAAAGGAAGAAACGCTAAAACTTGTAAATAATAAGAAAAACAACATAAAGCAATAATATGTTATTTTATATCACATTTACAGTAGAGAAGAAATCTGGAGAGTTGGGTGATTTTGAGAGCGACCCAAGATGTAGGGGATTTTGGAGAAGTTACTCTTGATAAAAATGTAGAGTGTACACCTATTCTGAGCAAGTTCTATTTAATCATAATAAGTATGAGCACAGTCTGTGACTCACTAATACTGATCCTAAGGAAACTTCTCTACAGATATTTGAAATATACATATGTCCATAAAAAGTCTTAGTTTGATACACCTTGAATGTAAACTAGGTACAATGTGGCAAAATCTAGTGGTTAGAAACAACAGATGCACACAGAGCTCAGTTAATAAAAACACAGAACTAATTAAAAAACGGTAAGTGAGAGATTATAATATACAAGAAGACAGCAATTTATGAATTAAATTGGAGGAGTTCGGGATCTTGTTGGTGATAGTGGCTGTGGTTCATTTTGAAGGAGCTCTGGTCTTTGCATCCAGCATCACTTCCTGGCTCTATAGGGGAAGACGTATGCTGTTTAACCTCCAGGACAAACTCATCATGCTGGCTTTCTGGCATGTACTCGATTGTTCTTATCATTGAAGGAGCTTGGGTTTCCATGGTGCTTAGAATGGCTGTGGTTCTTTTCAGGACAGCCCTGGTCTTTTTGTAGAGCCCTCAACCTACTAGCGCAGCTCCTTAACCCTGCTGGCATAGACTTTGTAACTTCCACCACTGACCTTTGGGTCTTCCAGCACAGATTCATAAAAAAGACTGCTGTGAGTCCTTTTGGGTCTAGACCTCTAGTTGAACTCATTGGAGGCATTGTCATGGGTTATATATATGTGTTCATCTGAAATCATGCAGGATATTGTTGTGGGATTCAGGCCTTTGGCTAAGCATTCTATATCTTCAATGTTGTGCACAGATTTTTTGCACTTTCTTGTGTTAACTCTGGTTGACCATCATAAAATAATATAGTAAATTCTGTGTCCTTATTTCTAATTGTTCTCCTCACAACCCCTGACTACATCAAGAACTATGGAGAATATTCAAAATCTAAACAAATTCAGGTTAAGAGAAAATATAAAGAATGCTATAGTATTATTTGCAACATTACTAGACATTGTTGAAAATGACCAGTTGGATGTATAAGAGAAGCAAAGAAAGCATAGAAAAAAGGCACTTAGTAATGATAATAGCCTGGATGTACATAAACTAAACCAATATTTTAGGGAAATGACACTGAATAAATTATAAATTAAAGAAGACTTCACAAAATATGTCACTGAGATTGTCAAGTAAAATGATACTGATAAGACACTGAATAAAAGTAAAAGGCATAAACATAGTATTTATGGAAAAATATTATATTTTTTAAATGTCGAGAGTGAGCTGATAGAAAATAGACTCAATCCAGCAAGGCAGTAAATATCAGACTATAAAGAATTTAGGAAGGAGAAGTGGGCAAAAACCAGAAAACATGAGAGAACTGAAGAGGCAAATTCAAGGGCAAAAACAATGGAGATTGATGACTTTAACATACCGCATGAACCTGTACTTCTTTTCCTTACCTTACCTTACCTTACCTTACCTTATCTTATCTTATCTTATCGTATCTTATCTTATCAAGATAAGTGAGTATGAGTGCTGAATTCAGTAGAAAGTGTTCTGAAGAAATACATTCAAGTAATATGTCAGAAACAAAGAAGATATTTAAAGTCTAATTGTATTTTTTAAAGATGATCTTCTTTGTTAGTATCCGTCTGTAGTATATAATGTTAAAATTCCCTGTGTACGTACCATCTTTTCTCTTTGTGTGTCATCCACTTCCTCTGCTTCCTTCTCCTCACCCTCCATCTCTTGATTTCCCATCCCTCTGAAAAAGATCTATCTCCCTATTTCCTACTGTCTCTTTTTGCTCTTTATTTATACTTTAGGTTTCTCATAAAAGAGGAAACATGTAATAATTAAGCTTGTGTGTCTGAATTACTGCATTAACATTTACGTTCTCAAGATACATCTATTTTCCTGTGAATGACTCGTTTATCTTTATTTATGGCAGAGTAATTCTCTATCATGTGTAAATACCACATTTGATTTATCCATTCATCTGTTGATAGACATATAGGGTGCTTCCAATACTGAGGTATTATGGAATGTGCTTCTTTGAACATGAGTATGCGTGGATCAATGTACTATGATATTTTTGATTCTTTTGGAAAGCTATTTAGGTGGGCAATGGTCACATCAAATGTGATAGATATTTTTAGTTTTCTGAGAAATCTCATTGTGGTTTCTATAGTGGTATTACTAGCTCATGTTCCCACTCAAAATGCAGACAGTTTCCCTTTTGCCACTATCTTGACAACATTTGTTATTATTGACTTTTTGATAATAGCCATTATTTTTTGAGTAGAAGAAATGATAGTATTGTTTTAATTTGCATTTCCATAATGACCAGGGAACTTGAACATTTTTCATGTATTCATTGGGCTTTGTATTGTGTTTTCTCTATCATTGTTTTTCACTCTAGTTTCCCAATTTTTGACTGAGTCTTTTATTAGGGTTTTATATATATATATATATATATTTTTTTTTTAAATTTCTTTATATATTCTAGATATGAATCCTTTTTATACGAGGTGTACCTTAGAAAAATTTTTAACACAATCTGTAGACTATCTCTCCACATTGTTATTTATTTTCTTTAGCTATGCAAAAACTTTCTGAGTTTAAGTAATAATTGTTGATTTTTGATATACTTCTTGTTCAGTTGAGGGTCTGTTTAGAAAATTTTACCTACATCCTCAAGAGTTTTACCTATTTTATCTTCTATTAGGTTAATTGTCTCCATTTTAATATGTAGTTCTTTGATATATTTTGATTTTAGTTAAGGACATGCCAAGAGACATGCTCTGAGTCTTCTGCATATATATAGCTAGTTTCCAGCACTTACCTGCTAAAGAATCTCTCTTTCCTCAATTATAAGTTTTTGGCCCCTTTGGCAAAGATCAGACAGTTGAATTTGCCTGAGCTTGATTCTGAGATCTCTACTCTGTTTTATGATCCACATGTCTGTTTTTGTGCCTGTACCACACTATCTTTATCACTGTCACTTTGTTATATAACTAAAAAATTAAAATTGTGATGTCTCTTGCCTTGCCTTTCTTGCCAAGTTTGCTTTTGATATTCTGGGTCTCTCATAGTTCTGTAAGCAGGTTAGGATTGAATTTGCTAGTTCTGTGTGAATGTTGTTATATTTTGATTGTAATTGCATGGAGTCTGTAGATCTATTTTGGATGTATGACAATTACTACACTATTGGTTGTACCTATCAAGGAACAAGGAATATTTTCTGATGTCCTCTTTGAACTGGATTTTTGGAGTATCATAGTTTTTGTTGCAGTCTTTTATTTTCTTGGCTAAGTTAATCCCTGTTTTTAAATTTTCTTGATGTTATTATGAGCAGTATTACTTTTGTATTCAAATGTCAATAGCCAGAATAAAACAACTAAAATGCTAACTGCAAAATAAAATAAATTTTAAAATAGAATATTAAAATATTTCATCTGAAAACATTGTATTTATTAATTTCATATTATTTTATCTGAAATGGCTAAATAATATGTAAACACAATAGAAAAATCTATTAATTTATTTCTGACTTCAAAATTCTTATTTTATTGATAAAATAAATGAGAAAATACATATAAGAATATAAAAACGTCACAACAATATATTGTAGTCACAGAAAATAGAAGTAAATGGGGAATAAGAGTCACTGGAAAAAGTTTCAGTTAATCAAGAAAGATTTATGTCAGTAGATCTCAAGTAACATCCCAGATTTGCAGAGAAAAAGATGTGAAAGTATTACTAAGTAAAAAAATAACATGAATAAAATTTAGGATGTGTGGGCTCATAGAAATATAAAGAAGCTTGAAGATTCCTCAGGAAGTTTTAAAAGTTCAAAAATATTAATAGAAATGCTTATTAAAAGCATATATAAATAAGAAAACAAATATACTAGAATACAGTTATGGAAATTAAAAAAACACTTAGATGCTAGTTTTCTGATTTGATGGCATAAAATTCACCTTATTTGATGAGCTATTTTATTCTTTATTCTCATTCCATTTTGTGTTGCGAAAAGTTGAAGCATCCAGAGGATTTAATTTATGAATTTGATAATTGTGTCAAACAATTGGTTACATGATTCTTATAATTAACTTTGTAGTGATTATTAAATTATGAACATAAGTGAAATTCACACACATATAGAAATACTTTGATTTATGTATATCTAACTTTGACATATATATATATGCATTCCTGTTATTTCCATTGGAAACAAATGTATAGTTGCTGATAATAGCATCTGTGGTCTGTGGTACTGATAAACAGTGAAAGAAATGTTAAATTTTATCTAGAAGTTGGAAGAAATAGCAGCGTAAGAGCACACCACAGTTCATGAACCCCTGCAGATTGTGAACTCAGACCGGGAAGCATTCAGTCTCTAAGCATTTAATGGACGTGGGATACACTAAATGCCTCATGATATTCCTGCAACATGGCATATGGAAGAAAGGGCATCATTACTCGAAAATGAGAAAATAGAGGCTGAAAAGTTTTTATGTAAGGTGGCTGGTGTCATACATATAACAAATGACCACTGCAAGGTTAAGAGTTAAATATCAGATTCTAAAGCTTTTGTTTCTTTCCCCCACTATGAATAGCATCTAGAGAATCAACAAAATGTTATAAATGGTCCAGCAGAAGACAAACACAGTCAGAGCAAGACATGACTTCATGAAAAGTAGAAATAACTGGAAATGTGCTACAGGGATAGACTTCGGGAGTCTTCAAAGCGTTCTCAGATATAAGGTAAATGCTTCAGAGAATTCAAAACAAGCTAACAGAAAGGATGATAATGAAGGCAATATTCAAGGAAAAAGAATCTAATGGAAAAAATAGTCTAATTCAATGGGTTTAAATAGTAAGGCTTATTGTAATGTTTTCTCATCAGAAGGTTTGGGAGTAGCTCTAAAATCATTTACTAGCATCAAGTACTATATTTAAAATGAGTTGAATTCCGTTACTAATTTTCTCATGTATTCTGAGAGTGTTCCGCTCAGAGACTAAACATCACACATCCAAGCCCAGACTTACCCACACTGGTGCAGCTTTCGCCGTCTGCATCCAGCTTCCAGCCTTCGTAACACGAGCACTTGACTGTATGCTTGTGCTGCTCACATACTTGACTGCACTTCAGATGACTGCTGCAATAATCCACAATTTCACATGTCTTATTGTCCTTGTTAAGTTGAAGGCCTTTAGGGCAGGAACAGACGATTCCTCTTCCAGGAACAACGGAACACTGGTTGCTACAGCCTCCGTTGTTCAGGGAACACTCATCTACAAACAGAGGAGCAGATCAGAGATACGTCAGTTGTTTTCCTCAGGTAAATGCTAATCATTAACATAATTATCTCTAAGCCTAAAAGTCATCCGCATATTATGAATATATATAAGAAAGCTCACTTTTATTATGAGGTTATGTACAAATAGTAAAAGTATACTAAAAAGAATTCATCCAAAGGCAAAACTTAATTTTATATGGTATATAATGGGAATGGACGATTTCATTTCTGTAAAACTTTGGGATGTAGTTTCTTTCATCTTATAGATATAAGATGCCATCAGCCACTCTGCTATAATTTAAAGGAATATACTGAGCAGTGGGCAGCTATGCTGATCAGTTAAAAATGTCTTCCAAGGACTCCACACTCATTAATGAATTGAACACTGCACTTATGTTTATTAAAATAAATACATTAACATACATATATGTGTAATACCTGTATTTTTTCTATATCTGTAGTGATAATGTGAAGATTTACTTATATTTTATTGCTAAAGATATTTAAGTTATGAAAGTTGTACAATATAAGTTAAATGTTAGGTTTTTTTTTTTTATTAATTCAGTAAGGCCATGGGTACAAAATAAGTAATATACAAAAAATCAAAATTCAAAATTGTCCTGGCATTATGGCTGAAATGATAAGCAACTAGTAGTCACTGTGTAAATATCATGAATTTATAAAGAAAGATACCTCTTTTATCATTAACACATATATATGCATGTATTTATGTAAATATGTAAATACATGTTATCTATGTAATTACACTACAGATATATTTACCACCAAATTGTATACCCTAAGAAGTCATAGAAAATATGTTCAGTTCATCATTGCATACACAATAGCTAATAACACTGAGCATTAAGAGGTTAAAATTTGATAAATTTGATAAAAATAAAATATAGCTTTATAAAACTATATGTATCTATCCAAAAACTAAGCAAGTACTGTCTGCTTGGGAAAATTTCAATGTTACAATGCACACCTTTGAATAGATCAATAGTAGAGTATTGCTTTTGCAACCACACTATTCCTTACCACTGTGTACTAGTAGATAAATAGGAATAAAGAAGAAAGAAGTTTTGTTTTTCTTCGCTTGAAAATTATCTTTGAGTGCTTCTCAGAGGCAGTTAAGCTGTATGCATTTCGAGATGTACTAAAGAAAACTGTTAACTAATAAATGCTAAGTTACACTAATATTTGTCTACCGCAAATATTTTTAGTGTCCACAGAAATGTATTTACATTTAAAATTAGGCTAACATATAAGGTTTTAAATAACTATTTTTACATTTTAAAAGTTTCTGTACAGTTCAACTCTTTTTCATATTTTTGTCACCATCAAAAAAGTTACAGTAATAAAAAAGGAGAATGTTTGCATTAACAGTTTTCTCTAAGAATTCAATTCAACTTTGGTATTATAGAAAGAGTAAAAGAGATTCATTTTTTGGTTTCTTCAAATATGTTTGCTCGCCAGTAATCATAATCATTTCAAAACAGCAGTCATTTCAAAGTATCTGCCCCATTTTACTTCAATTGACATTCTTTTTCAAGAGAATTACTATAAAGAAATGTCATTGTGCCCAGCAGGTGAAAAAAATTGTTTCAATGCTTTTAGTGTATTTTGAACATCACTATTCTCTTAGTACGGAAATGCCTCTCTTGGATGCTATCGGAGGGATTAAATGGCAGACTTTAGGAAAAACAAAATTGATTTTGAAATCTAAAACAAATTTAATATCAATTGTACATAGCTAATCTCTTGTCAGTTCTGCTTTCAGCCTAAACCTGTAATTAATGTTGCAAAATCTTTCAAACTCTATTATTTCTTGGCAAATCTCTCATTAATCAGACTCTGGTTAGGAGCCTGGGGGCAAACCTCTCCAGAGTTTGAACCTAGGTTCAGGAAAACCACAGACCAGTCCAGATGATCTGAGGCCCTCCCTCTCCTTGACCCCTTCCTACATAGTGAGAGACTTAACCACCAGAGTACAGTAGAGCTTCACACTTCACGTCCTCTAAGAACAGGTATTCTGGCAACCTTGCAATTGAAATATCAGCTTTGTTCCTTTGTTCCTTTGAGATGTGCATCTTCTGGCAACCACAACTGTCCTCTCAAAGACCTAGGGCTTTCTTCTTTTAATGCAAACATTCCTGGAGTTATTCCTTCTCCCTTTCCCAGCTCTGTGCTCTGCTCTTTCATTCCTAAGATGCGGTGCCACTGCCTCCCATCACACTTCATAATAGAAGGCACAGAAACTTGTGTTCCAGATAAAAATCACTTAATAAACTCAAATGGCTTCGCTGCACAGATAGACCTCTTAGTACTGCCTATTGCTTTTTCCTCACTGCACCCAGGGCTTAAAATTTCTTGCCTTACCTTTTAGTAAAGTTGAGTTCAGTTGCCAAGGGCTCTTTTCCTGTTATAGTAATTACACATGGGTAAAGTCTATCCTTCCTGCTTTAGTGTCCAATTGTGTCTATATTTAACATAGGTTTAATACAAGGATAAAGAACTCCAGTCTTAATGACACAAGTTTCTTCTCTGAAGCATCTCGCTTCCTTGAAATTATTAAAAGGTTCTCCTTTTCAGTAAGCGTAGAATATTAACATTCTTCTGTTCTCTCATTCTTTCTATGTATTTTGGGTAAACATAGACAATAATCTTTCTTTTGCCGTCTTTAATTTTGGTTTTTGTTGTTAAGCTAGGTGCTGCAATTAGGACAAGTGTCCATAATTTCTCTGGTGTGTCCACAGCTAGATTCTTTTTAACATCCTCAACTCTGTAATCCTCTGAAATGTCTGTGCTAATTTTCTTAGCAGAAGAATATAATGAATAGATAAACCAAAGGTAGTGACCTTCTTTTTTCCTTTTATTCCTGTGTGTGTGTGTGTGTGTGTGTGTGTGTGTGTGTGTGTTACTGGTGATGGAGCCCTGGTGTTTTGCACTGAGCTCCACTCCCAACCTATTTTTCTTTCTTTCTTTCTTTCTTTTTTTTTAATTTTTGAGACAGGGTGCAGGTAAGCCCAAAATACCAAGGTTAGGTTCAAACTTGGGATCCTCCAGCCTTGGCTCCCCAAGGTTCTGGGAATATCAATGTCGTTCAAAAGTGATTTTCTAGTTTTAAAGTGAAAAGAGAATGAATTACTAAGGAATTTCTTCCTTTTTCTTACTTAATAAGTGAGTGAAGGATAGGAAAACAAGTATGCTTTCTTATAATTCTCTTTTTATGGTGTTGTATTTTATTTCATTTTATTTACATTTGTGGTACTGGGAATGGCATTCAGGACCTTGCACTTCCCAAGCAGGTGCTGTGCCACTGAGCTATATCCCCAGCCCCTCTTTTTTTATTTTAATATGTTTATTTGCAACGTCAATCATTTTTTATTTTTCCTAACTTAATTTAACATCATCAAAGGAGAAAAGATGGAAACTCTCCACTTTTCTTCCGTACCTATAGTGCACATGGCAGTATTGTTATGTACTGGAGAGATAGCACTGCTTCCCCTGTAATTACAGGGAACAAACATTTTGAGATATGAGTAACTAACCATATTGACTAAACTGAATGTAATTCAGAGTGGGCCAAGTCTATGTTCATTCTGAAACAGGCACAAGAAAATGTTAGCAAAAGTAATCTGGGACATCCCCACAGTGGATGTGGGGGATTTTAACTCACCCCACCCATAGGGCACGTTTGAGGTTCACTGAATTTCATAATAGAAAAAGAATTTTCAAAATACATCAACAAGAGTAATACAGAAGTTTATTAGGCACTGTTTTAAAGTGTAGACATTTTTAAAAATGGGGTCCTCAAGAGAAAGAGGAACCTTTGGGTTCCTCTTTGGGCTGGGTAAATTTTAGGGAAAGCGGGAGTAGAAATCTGTGGTCATATGAGTTTATGAAAAGCATAGGTTCAATTTAGAGATGAGAGACTCACGGGCCTTTCCCCAAGGGAAGGGTTACAGCCCACTGATAGTTGATGATAAGAGCCTCGCCCATCCATAAAGGAAAGGTCCATTTCATAGGTGAAAAGTGATGGTCGTGTCACAGGTAAAAATGTCCAGTTACAGCTACAATGAATTGGCCAACGTTCAACTATAGATGAAAAGCAAAGTCCCAGCATAGTGCACCTTTAACAAACTTAAAAATTTCCCAACAATTTTGTGTCCTCAAGATCCAGTTTTTACTAAAAGTACAATTTCAAGATTATGATTTTCTTTGTTTCCTTTCTACTTACAATTTTTTTTTCCTGCTTTACCTCAGGATCTAGGATCTTTAACTGCAGATACCCCATACTCCATGGGTAAATAAAAGCGGGATAAAGTTTGGCATCTCTGTATTGCCCTTACATGGATCCCTCGAGGTATTGCAGATCTCTGCTCAACAGTGTATTTAGGCAGGTTAGTCACTTTAGAAATGTCTGTAAAATCTCACCTCTCAGTCTGCTTCAAGACTGAGGATACTAGGACAAGAGTGACTAAAGTGATTTTCAAATTTTGTAGGGATATAGTACTGTCAGATTTTAAAATGTCCAGTTCCATTCTCCTGTAGACAAACCTAGAAACCTACAATCATCTCAGATTATGAGAGGGACTAACCCAGGATAAGGGAGGGCTTCTTCCCAGCTGGGAGCCATTAACCCAGAACTGGGCCTCACACTGACAAGTCCTGAAACTTTTTTCTGTGATAACAGTCAGTCTAAGAGAGAAGTGCATTGCAATCTCCTCTTTGAGGGACTTCTCGGAACCATTCTGGTGCCGTGTGTGTATATATACTTTCTGTTTTATCAGTCTTGACACTTTCTTCCACGTTGAAACGCACTTATATAATGGAGACTTAAAATCTACTTTTGCAAAAGATCACTGACCCTTTACTTGGCCCTAACGTGATGATGGGTAACTAAAAGCAGGATAAAAGCTTGAAGCCTGTATTATCACTTTGTATAATCTCCTTTTACACCTTAAACTTTGTATCAGCTTTCTGTTAAAATCCACCTATAGACTTTGAAAAATTACTGTCTAACAGTTGTTGATAATGGTGCAAACAACTGGGAGGGATGTGTCAAAGTCATGGAGACCCAAGGCACATGCGCAAAACAAAGGTCCAGCTCCTAAGAACTGTATGTGGAACGAAGCCAAGAAGTGTTATTTTTCATTTCTTGATTTAAATTTGCTGGGAAGTTTTCGATTGAGTAATTTAAATCTAGCACCCTCACTTAATTTTTTTCTTCCAGTTCTTGCCCTGTTTAAATCAGAATCTCATGGCAGTGTCTTTAGACTAAGCTAATGAAGGCTTTGGTCCTCCTTGTCTTCCCAGTGTGGCTATATGAGTAAGTTCCTTCCTAAACTATGCATGACAGGTCAGGCCTGTCATTTTAGCACTCTGGGAGATTAAGGTAGGATGATCGTAAGTTTGAGGCCAACATAGACACTTTAGGGAGTCAACGAGACTGTCTCAAAATAAATTTTAAAAAAAGTGAAAAATAGATAAATAAACTAAAAATAGAAAAGGACAGATGACGTAGCTCGATGCCAAGATCTTGGGGTCAATCCCAGCACCGCCAAAAAATTATTTCCTTATTTGACCATTACTTTTGCTCTTTGTTAATTTTGGGGGGCAAGAGTCTATACCTAACCTGCTGAGACCTCCAAACAGACCATCAGAGAGCCCACACAGCATTACAACCTTCATGATGTTAGGGAAGATAGACTTGGAGAGCAGACCGTAAATGTAAAAAAATAAATCCTGTCAAATTTGTAGCGTGAATTTGTGTTTTATAATTTTATTTTTAGGGTCTTTTGTTGTTGTCATATCTCTTGTTTCTTAGTGTCAACGAATGAAGAATATGTTATTTACCATTTCAAGGTTATTTTACACAATAACAGCATCTTTGAAGGATGTTTTATTGCATAGATTTAAAAAAGAATAACAGTCTTTGTATTACTCAATATGCTATTAATGTTCAATCAAGATAAAAATATGATAACTGCAGACCTAAATGTAGTTATTTTCTACTTTCAGGAAGCTTCATCATTTCCAAAAGCCATTTTCTCACAACCTCCTCTCAGCTCATTGTTGTTCTTATCACCCTATAAAGTCATCTTCATTACTCTATTGATGCCACCTTCAGTATTATCTAGAAAACATACCTTTTAAAATCTCCTTGATAAATCTCTATTTTCCCCAAACAGCAGAAAATGCAATTTTCTTTTATATTTGTTGTTTTGGTGTAAGAGAAATGGCTAGTCAAAGTGCCTTTAAATCTAAATGGAATCATCACTTAACTAGATAAGGACACTAAATAAAGCTATTGGATGAAGACTAAATATTTGAGAGAAAACATTATACTTACTGGGTTATATTCAGTTTGTTTCATTATCAAGCCTCTCCCTCTTCCTAAAACCTACATTTGTGGTGCAATGATTATTAGACGTGTATAAATACATTGAATAGTAGCAAAATCCATCCTAGATCAAGAATAAAGTTTCTCCTGTATGTAGTGACACACTGACAACCATAATTGTTTTAATTGTGGGAATAGCATGGACATTCAGAGCCTTAAATGCTGTACATAGCTCAACAATTTTTAAATGAGTTGGATGCAGTTCAGCTCTTTTCTGCTTTCAGAAATTTCTGATCATATTTAAAAATTGTGCATAGATATATTGTACCTGAAATATACATGTAAGATTGAATGCTAAAATTGGAATTGAAGGGAATGAACAGGAATTCATGCTCCCATAACAAACAAAATCACAAGGTAAAAGGTTCTCATTTTCAGAGAAAGACAGATCAATTAAATAAGTGATACCGCAGAGATCGCCTTCATCAGACCCATCAGGACAATCTCTCTTCCCATTGCAGAGTTTCTCTGGCTGCAGGCAGACTGAAGTATCATTAGCACAAGGGTACTTTGGGGGTCCACATAAGAAACTGTCACAGTCTTCTTCATCTGACTGATCTTCACAGTCGATATCTCCATCACATACCCACGCTTTGTTGATGCATCTCCCTTGAGAGAACAGAAAGTCCATGCATTTGATTTTGTAATTAGGTCACTGTAAGAATGAGTAACCACTGGTGTCTTCACTCTCAGGCAAAATTACACGGAATTAGCGAAAAATCTATTTGCTGATAGTTTTTTTTTTCCTGATAGCATGTGTATCCTTCTTATCTTAAAATACTCTTTGAGTTTATTTCATGAATTTTTATTTAGTTTCAAGTTATTTTCCTGTGTTATTAAATAAAATTTTATGACTATTTGGAAGTTTAATTACAGTGCTTTCAGAAGCAAATTTCAAAACACATTTGTATAGCAGCGCATTTCACATGCCTCAATTTAGTTATAATTTATCAGTTCCTACATGAAGTCTAAGTTTAGGCAAATATTTCATGTTAAGAGGATAAACTGCGCTTCTGCTTGACTGTATAAGCTCAGAATTTCAGTTCCTCATACCAAAAACAAATATATGCCACTTCATAAAAGACAGTCAATTGTAGTTAAACTAACAATGTATACATAGAAAGTGTAGAAATATGTCTTCTTTTAATTGTTTTAAAAGAAAATAAGATGGTTATTTGTGACGGCACATTTCAAAAGTAACAGTGTGGAACACACAGAGGACAATGGTCTCTGTTGTGTAAATTTTTAAATTTCTTTTCAAATTATTGTTATTTTCCCCACTGTTTTTTATTTGTCTTTTAATCTATTATTTTTTGGAGTATATTTTATTATGGAGAAATTGTGGAAATATCTAAGACAAATCAGATTATTTTCTGACCCTATAGCCATGTCTTTTTAAATATATATATCAGTAAATAAAAATGCAAAATATTATAACATCTATTTATATATATTATATTGAACTGACTAAACTTGAAAGTTTAAAACAATTGAAATAACAGTGAAAAATAATTTAAATCTGGTACTAGAAATATATTAATAGTTACACACACTTACAACTCCATACATAATCTTTTCAATAAAATAAAAATGTATTTAATGATATTGAATATTAATTATTAGTACAATAGTCAAAAAGAATAACAAATACTTCATGAATAGTGCAGGAGAAATATAAACTTTTAACCAAATGAACAAAGTGAATATTAGCATATGTTATTTTGAAAATAATACCTGTGATAATGGTTACAAAAAAGAATGAGAATAGGAAATATTCAGCTAATATAATTTTTATGAAATCTACTAAGACTTAAACCTACAAGAAAATTATAATTCAAAAACAGAAATCTATTTTCAAAAATACAAAAATCAGTAGATTTTATATATAAATTATATGCCATATAATGAATATCAAGTAAGTGTGGGTTTTTAAGATACTTCTTGTGTTAAATAGAACATATCTGTATAATATTCACATTAAACAGAATTGAAAACTCTTAAAAGACACTTAGAAGACTTTAAAAAAATCATTTTCTCTTAGAATGACTTGGTGTTGCAAAAATATTAATTATTTTTATCTTAATGCAAACTTTCCAAACGAGTAATGATCTTAAGGTAACTTTACAAGCTTATTCTAAATTTATGAAGAAGAAATTGCAAAAATCATTAGGCATCATTTTATTTTTGGATTTTTTAAATTAAGGATTGGGTATAATTTAAATGCATAAAATCATCACATTCATCATGGGGAATTTGTGCCTGTACATGATATGTCTTAATTCTTCTTATTTTTCCCATTCCCCTCTACTCCCTTCATCCCTTTTCCTCTCCTTATTTACAAAGCTTTGTTTCTAATTTAACCTTTTTTTTTCCCTCATACTTTTTCTTTTGCATTCTTTGCTTTATCCTTCCCTACTCCCTACTCAGCCACAAAGAAGGGTAAGTCTGAGAAATTTCTAGGCCAATGGATGCACTTTGAGACCACGGTCTTAAGTGGAATAAAATGGACACACATGAAAATATTGCACTGTCTCTCTGGTATGAGAAACTGAAAGTATAAATAAGAATCAACATGCATAATAACAATTGTGAAATAGAAATTGCTCATTAAGTGTATTTTTTAAAAAAGAAAAATTATTATGAGTAAGAGGTATATGTGCCAAATAATTAGAAGCAGTTTAAAGAAAAGTAGGCAAAATATTTTTATGAAACAATATCAATAAATAGAGCAATAATTACGTAGCATCAAGACATCAGAAATAGGCCCATTTATGTAAATGATGGCAATATACAAAATAATACTTAGTTAAATCACTGTTCAATTGTCAACAGCCAGAGCATCTGGTGGTGATGTGAATTCCAGATACTTAGATGGCACTGTCCCTGCGGCCTTATCAGTTTTATCCCAACAGTCTGTCTAGCTTTACTAGACAGACATTTCACAGTTATGGTATAACTGACTTTCCAGAGTCTCCATTGTAACTTTGGCTTTATTTCCACGATATTACACAATGTCATCATGAGGTCTACTTGTCTGGCTCTTTAGGTCTTCTTTTGAAATTTGGGTAGAAGCCTCCCTGATCTCATAGCATTTATAAACTGCATGTTGGAAAACCAGTATCACGGAGAATATACCAAGATATGGTCTTGGTTAAACGTTTGTGAGGCCAGCTTGAACCACAGCTACAGCTGCATCTAAGTGCCTGAATGTCAGAGCGAAGGGGAAATCAGCAAACCAGTATCTTAGGTGACCATTTGAAGCAGTGGTAAAGGGATCTCTTCTCAAATAACAGGCTTACATTTTTGAACACTTGAGCTTATGGTGGGTGTTGTCCTGCTGATTTCTGATATGCTCTATAAACATTTTTTTTTCCTACACCCATCGATGGTATTTGGTTTGTTTCCAACAATACTAATAACTTCAGTGGCCATAATCCTTTGGTTCTAATTCTATATATGGTTCTTAAAGTTTTTCAATTTTTCTCCCAATTTTCACTATAAATTTGGCTATAAACACCTGACAGTGCCCTACCGCAACCTACATTTTGGCCTGCCTTGGAATTTCCTCATCCAGATCAGCCCACTAAATGCCTGAATTTCAGTTTTGTGCAGTCTCAGAATATGGGCAAAACACAGACCAATATTTTGCCAGTGTGCAAACCGTCTAATTATCAAGAAAGCCATCATTTCTTACTGACACCCCCTGAGCTTGACCTTTACTGCTCCTGTTCCTATCAGCATGAGACTTAGACATGTGCCTGCTAAGAAACTGTTTTGAGGCTTCTCAACTTGGACTGACAAATCCTTCTAAAATCCTCCTTTGAACTATTTCCAAAGGCTTCTAAATCATATGATAGGTACAATGACGGCAATGGCACCCTCCAGGTACCAATTTTTTCTGTTAGTCCCTTTTCTGTCACTGGAATACAATGCCTAACACCCACAAATTAAATGAATAGAAGTTTAATGAGTTATGGTCTCATGGCTTCATTCCATGATGGGAGGTTACAAGGCAGGAATAATTAGTGGAAGGATCGATAGAAAAATGTTTATTTCTTGATAAGGAGAAAGCAGAGCAAAGAATGCTTCCAGGGAGGAAAGGATCAGGCAACACATACAATATACAAAGCAACTTTTCCAAGGCCCACCCAGGAACGTCCAGAAGTGTGCCTAACTAATCTCCTGGGTATTTGTTAAACGAGTCAGTTGACATAATTATGATTTCCCTAAGCAGCAGCTTAACAACTTAAGGGGTCCTGCCCTAAAATAAAAAGTAAAAAGATAGGGACTGTGTTTCAGAACTAAGTTCAATCCCCACAACTGAACAAAAATGCACTTCAATATAGAATAACAGTTACTAAAAACTGAGTTGAAGAGTGAATAAAGAGAGACTGGATTTAATCAGTATGCATGTTTTAGAATGTCTCACTGAAGAACTCGTTGTACAGTAATATGTACTATGAACACATGTTCATAAAAGTTCTAAAAATACAAAGAGGGCACATTTCATTAAAATACAAAGATTTCTTTGGAATCAATAGGATAAGCATAAATCTAACATAACTGCAAGGTTTACAATAATGATTTACAAACATTAGCTATTTAAAAAGTGAACTAAAACAGTAAACTAAAAGGACTATTTGGCATAGTTTCTTCTTTACTAGCTATATCAAGATCAAAAAGTCAGACAATATCAAAAAAGACAACAAAAATGTTAGAAATAATTCAAATTTTTGGAGGCTATAAATTGACATAAGCTGTCTATATGAAAATTTTAAGAAATTTAGCAAACAAAAATGTATACTTCAACACAGGCATTCTAAATGTAGACAGTGTTTCATTAATATATCAGCACAAATGCAATAGATGCACACGCCTATATATGTATATTTATAATATATATAGTGAATATAGTATAAAAACTACACTTACAATTTAAATCATCATTCCAAGGCTTGTGCCATGCATTACAACTATTTTGCATTGTGAAAGTTTATGCTTGAGTGAAAAAGAATGAGACCCTAAACATCTTAGTGAAAAAGTCTTCAAAATACACCAAATTAAGAAGGCACAGAACTTAAGATGTATAGGCTTTCTTTCATGTTACAATGGACATACCTATCTATCAATTTATATGACTATATTTCCATAAACATATCAAAATAAGTACATTCATCCATCAGTATCCACAGGGGACTCGTTCCAGGAAAAATAAGAAAGCCCTCTCCCCATTACCAAGAAGCTCATAATCCAGTTGAAAAGATCAATGTGTAACATTTAAATGTAGTTTAAGAGACAACACCCTATACTTAAGTATTAAATTGGTACCATTTGCAAATGTAATAGAGACTTAAAATAATATAATTTCCAATATAATTTTTATCAATAATGTACAACTTCTTTTTCCCCCAAGTATCATTAATATATCATAACATTTTAAACTATTGAACCTACCATGGCTGTAGAATTAGTTCAATAAATGTAGCTATAAAATTGATGATTTAGAGAAAGAGTAACAACAAAAATGTTTGCTATCCCTGACTTAAATACTTCCTAAAGAAAGCAATGAATAATAACATTCAGATGATTCTAAAACCCCATCATAGTTT